ATCTATCTATCCATCTATCTATCTATCCATCTATCTATCTATCCATCTATCTATCTATCCATCTATCTATCTATCCATCTATCTATCTATCCATCTATCTATCTATCCATCTATCAACCTATCAATCTATCATTTATCATCCATCCATCCATCCATCCATCCATCCATCCATCCATCCATCTATATGTAAAAATAAAGGCCACATTAGACCTTCATGGCTCAATCTGGCCCAAGGAACACGGAAACATTGTACACAGAGTTACGGGATCAGAGGAAAACAGTCAACATCCTCCGTCAGTCAGTAACAATGACCGAGACAGAACTCCAACAGGAAAGGCTGCCGCTACATTGTTGTAGACATTGTTTAGGTTGCCGACTAACTGTGGGATTAGGGCCTCGGTCTGTGAGCCGTCTCCTCTGTGTGACCCTGATGATTTTTGTTGTTCATTATCCATCAAACAGCAGCCATACATCACTGAGGATCACGGAGACATGTGGAAACCATTCGGATTTCACCTGCTTCCTTTGCTGCGGGGGACTTTTGGAGTCAGCTCAGGATGTGTAGTCCTTTATAATGATACGTCAGGTAATTGTTGGTGCCATCAGTACCGGGCGCTGCAGACTGAGATATTTTGCCTGGATTTGGGGCCATGTTGGCTCAGTGCCCGCTGGTTGACAGGCTTATTTGGATTTCATGTGTTAAGCCAACGTTTTATTTAGAGGGCACAAACTTTTTGACACTACATTTACAGTCACACAAGAATATATATACTGTATATATACAGTATATATATATCTATATATACATATATAGATATGTATATATCTATGTATATATTACTTATCCTTGTGCTAACTCAAACATTTTCAAATGTAGTTTCAACACAGCTTGCAATTCTTTTATGTAGGGATGTCGGGATGTAGGGATGTGATTTTATGTTTTTGTCGATATCCGATATACCAATATTATACAAACACTTGATATCCGATTTAATGTGAACCGATACCGATATATGCAGCTGTTTGCCCCCAAAACGTCCCAAGAAACCACTAGCGATTGCAGCATATTTGGCAAATATATCTTCGTCAACCAGATGTACATGGTAAACAGAGGCTGACCGAAGTGTGGAGTATGGTGACGGTGATGTGTACGTTAGAGAGTGGAGGGTTAAAGGTCAGAGCCAAATAAACACAGGAGAGGCCAACGTTAGCGTTAGCACCGCGACCGGTTATTATTACTGCTATCAAAGAATTAAAAAGTGATAAATCGTGATTAATCACAGGCTAGCGATTAATCCAAAAAAATACAAATAACAACAAGCAGACGTATGTGTTTCACATCTATGTTTTTATTTATATAAGATGGAATCATTTCTATGGAAAAATGTCATCGAAAATATCCAAAAGTATACTTTACAATTTTGCTGTATAAAGTTGGTGGATTTTAGCCAGTCTTGCGCATCTTGACAGTTGCTTGTAGAACAACTGCCAATCAGTCCACAGTCTGCCTCACAATCCATTCGACAACAGTGTCCTGCTCTTGGTGAGGCCGGTCTCTGATGCAAGCCAGGCATCTGAGCTGAAATCGTAGCCTCCACAAATGCATCGAGTTGGTATTTAAAGCTCAAGCTCAAGGAGCGTCGGTAAAAAGTCCCATGTGTATCGGCTGGGTATAAGAAGGTAGAATTTATTAATGTGCCTCATTGTGATTGTGTGTTAAAATCACATTGGTTACTGCAAATATTTTGACATGCCTAGTTGTTATTCTTCGGATGTGTACATTATTTGAGGTCACTGCAAAATACAACATTCTAGTGTCTGGTCAGAACTTCTCACTTTTACCAGGAGTCCCCAACCCCCGGTTCGGGGACCAGTGCCGGTACGTAGGTCATTTGGTGCAAGGCCGCAGTGGGATACAGTGAAAAAATGTACTTCAGTTTTACTAATCTACTTCATTCCAAAAGTAATCCAATCATATCCCTTTACTGTTTTCATTCAAAGATAATCTGACAGTGTTTCTAAACAACAGGTCATTCAGACTCTGATACTAACAGAAGAAAGTCTCTGAAAATGAAAATGTAATGATCCTTCAACGATGGCGCCGTATTACTGGTCCGCAGACCTGTCCTTGGTACAAAAAAGTTTGGGGTCCGCTGCTATAGTCGCTCCAAGCAGTCATTGGTCGATCGCTGGGACAGCCCAGAAAGTTCACCATGTGATGAGGACAAGTGGACCTCAGCTTTAAGATGTGACCAAAATGCAGACCTTCAGAGGCGAAGAGAGGATGTTAAACTCTGGAACCCCGAGACTCACCAGATGGTTTATAAAAAAAAAGGTGTGGAGGGGGAGGAGGTTGGTCGTCAACAAATGGTCCAAAATGGGCCCAGGCAGGAAACAGGCAACAATATGGCTTACCCTCTTTGAAGTGTTACTAATGATGTGTGTGTGAACTAATATATGGCACCCACTTTTCAAGTCCCTACTTAGTTTTTTTTCTGTAAGTAAGTTTTATTTTATGTCTTAAATTAACAATAGCTGCACATATAGTTTGTGTATACTTTGTACTTTGAAAGTACTCTCCTAACCAGCATAGGCCAAATATGTGAATATGTCAATGTTATAATATGATCATTGTGAGTGGTCCTTTTTTCGTCCTTCCTGAGTCGGAGTTAATCAGTGGGTTATTTTTCCTCCTTCCTGAGTCGGAGTTAATCAGTGGGATCACCCTCACCTGTGTCTCAGTCATTAGTCTCACTGGTGTCACCTGGTGGCCTGGGTATATATACACCTCTCTCCCTCAGTCAGTATTTCTCCAGTTTGTTGTGATGTCCAGTCTATGTTGTTCCTATCTTGTGTTCTTACTGCCCTGAGATCTGAGTTTGTTTCTGCCTGTTCTTGACAATCCAGTAAGTGGATGAAGTTCACCTTTTTTGTGTGATGAATAAACTTCCTGACCTGCTGACACTTCCTGACCAACGCTAGACGTAACAATTATTACCATGTGAAATATTTACATGTGTTTTTTTTTTTGCCTTGTGTTTTACACAGATATTTAAAAAGAAAACAATTTACATTTATATTACACAAAGATTACATTTTTGTATGCTCTCACAGCAACACATGAAAGTGACTGACCTCACCTGTTGAAAATCCTTTGTTTTGATTGACCTCAGTGGTGCAGCAGTAGAGCATGGTGCAGACCAGCCTAAAATCCCAGCTTTGTGTGCAGACAAATTATACGTTTTTTTATATAGCAACACAATCTGAGGAAAGAGTATGGAATGTTAATTAGTCGTTACATACTGCCTTACAATAACTGACATTTTAACTGATGAGAAACTTCAGTGAAAAAGAGAATAAACTGGAGTTCTTGACATTGGGATTTCATTTCTGAGATTATGACATATCTGTTAAATTCTACTTTACTTTTTTTTTTTGTCAAAGGTTTAGCTCGCGCTAGGGTAGTACTTCTCAAATAGTACATATAGTACAATAGACAAATATACCACGGCTGTAATGCTTGAATGATAACAAGCCTCCAGTCACTAGGTGGCAGCAACTCATACAGTGGTTTGTACAGATAAAAATATACACGTTATCAGGTTTTTAATTTCAGGTTTTTAATTTCAATTTTCCCGTTCCGAGAGGGAGAACTCCCTCTCGGAGCGTGATCTTTCACAGCCTCTCCAGGATTATCGCCCTGAGCGAACAGACCAACCTGACAACTAACTGGCACCAGTAGCCGCGCCAGGAATTAACCACCTGCCACGGTCCGAGACCCAGATTCACGAGCGGTGAACTTCCGGAGGGTAAGTTGGCATCAAACGAGCCCATGAGGTTATTGTTACACGGCAGCAGGAAGTGAGGCTTCCTTCAGTCAGGGCTGCGGGGGCAAAAGGTCAGCTGAAGCGGGTCAGGGGGATCATGTTTGACCCCAGATGTGGCAGGAGAAAAATGTTAAGGAGGGAACGACAAAAATAGGACGAGTGCTTGGAACTGTCTCTCTGAAACATTACAGAAAGTTTTTTTTTTTTCAGTTACGTTACGAAAAATCCAGTTAATATTTAGAAAATAACTCCCCAAAAAACAAACATATTTAATTTAAAAGTTTCTATTTTATGAGAGTGATCTAGTTCGTATTGTATATTGATTTCTACTGTCTTTATTAAAGGTCTGTGGTGTGAAAGCGTGTCTGGTCGAGACGTCTTTGTCGTGTTTACCGCAGCAGAAGTGGAGCACGCGTGTGTTTTTCGTATGATGTGTGCGTCGTACGTATGAACCACATGAACCTCAGCGTGACTCTGTTTATCCTCGGTGAAATACGTCCACTGTCTCTCTCCTGTCTCAGCAGTGATGACGATCTGGGGAATTAGAAACAGGTGTGTGAGAAATGTGTGGGGATCACCCCTTTATCCCACCACGCCCTCCTCCTCCTCCTCCTCCTCTTCCTCCTCCTCTTCTCGCTGCTCCAGACCTGTCTGATCCAGTAAGGTTAAGCTGTGTTTTATGACGGCTTTTAACGTCCGTCCGTTTTCGAAACTGGTAGACGTATGAATTAATTCCAAAAGTATAAGAATCACAGAATGCTAAGACAGCAACAGTTACACCGCTGTGTAAACAATGCGTGACTGACCATTGTTCTGTGATGAAAGCAGTCCTACTGACCTGCGGGTCACGGGTTTATCCACTCTTCAAGAGCCGCTTCAGGTGTTTTTGAAGTGGGCTTGTGTGAAGCACTGATACTCTATCAGGACTGACTCCTACCAGACTGCCTTCAGTACCAGGTACCACACACTAAAAAAAAAAACAAAAAAAACACAGAACCAACTTCTTTATAAATTTCCCAGAATTAACGTCTGCCAGAAAAATGTTTCTGTTTTTCTGTTCCGACACTAGCGCGTGGAATATTTTCACCGCAAACACAATCGAGAGTGAGAGAGGAATTCCCAAACATCTGATGTTAAAGCGTAACAGCGTGAAAAGCCAGTAATCGTTCCTGATTGGCTGCAGTTATAAGACCGTTAGGGGTCAAAGGTCCACCATGAGTAAGTGTGAAGTGGCCTGTTGATCAACAGTCGGAGAACAACGCTGATTAAAACGGACCGTTAATCCTCTCAACAAACTGTTGATCGGTGTAAACAACAGAGAACTCAGTGCCTGACCTCACCACCCACTGGTCAGTGTGCGTACTACGGGCCGCAGCTAACTGTCAGCAACGGT